GCTCACACCTGTAATTCCCAGCACTTTGAGAGGCCAAGATGGGTGGATTATTTGGGTTCAGCAGGTTTGAGACCAGCCTGGGTAACATGGCAAAACTCTGTCTTTAGAAAAAACATACACGGAAAAAATTAGCTGGATATGGTAGCACGTACCTGTAGCCTAAGCTACCTGAAATGCTGATGTGGATCACCCAAGCCTGGGAGGTCAAAGCTGCAGCGAGCTTTAATGGTGCTGCTGTACGCCAGCCTGTGTAACAGAGCAAGATAAAAAAAAAATCACATAAACTATACATATGTGTGTATGAGTGTGTATAAAGTATAGAAAAGCAAGGATAGGCACTAAAAAGTTAGCAGAGTTATGAATATATCTGTGTTATTTGAATATTGTTTAAAAGAATGCCTTTATGAAATTCTCATATAAAAAAGAAACAAAAGTAATGTAAAAGCATTGTAAAAATTCAGATATACAGAAAAATACAAACAAGATGAAAATCACCTGTTCTATGATGCCCCAAAAGAAAATTTCATTAATTCACCTAACAAATATTTACTGAGTACATCCTACAGAGCTATGATCTATCACAATTTCAGTGTGCATTTCAGAACTTTCCTGTACCTCCAGAGTTATATACAAATTGTAATCATTCACTGATATGTATCGTTACATGCATAATATATACAGCTGGCCCTCTGGATCCACAGGTTTCAAAACTATACATCTAATCAATCTCAGGTTGAAAATATTAGGGGAAAAACCCAAAGATAATAGGACAACAATAAAAAATAATGGAAGTAAAAGCAATACAGTATACCAACTATTTACATAGAATTTCCATTGTATTAGATATTATAAGCAATTGAGAGGTAATTTAAAGAATATGTCAGGATGTGTATAGGTTATATGCAAATACTATGCTATTTTACATCAGGGACTTGAGCATCCTCAGATTCTGTTATTCATCAGGGGTTCTAAAACCAATGTCCTACCAATACCAGAGGACAACGGTTATATAATATGCTCTTATTACTTAACATTGATTATTCATTCATTTAGCACATATTTATTGAGCACCTACGTTAGCCAATATCATGCTAGGTTCTCAGAATAGAAAGGTGAATAAATTGTCTGTTTTTTTAACAAAATTTACTAATATGGTTTGGCTTTGTGTCCCCACTCAAATATCATCTCAAATTATAATCCCCATGTGTTGACGGAGGGATTTGGTGGGAGGTGATTTGATCATGGAGGTGGTTTCCTGCATGCTGCTCTCATGATAGCGAGGGAGCTCTCATGAGATCTGATGGTTTAAAAGTGGCAGTTCCCCCTGCACACGCATACTCTCTCTCTCCTGCTACCATGTAAAACATACCTTGCTTCCCCTTCACCTTCTGACATGATTGTAAGTTTCCTGAGGCCTCTCTAGCCCTGTGGAACTGTGAGTCAATTAAACTTCTTTTATTTATAAATTACCCAGACTCAGGTAGCATTTTTATAGCAGTGTAAACAAGGAATAATATGCTTATAATATATATAGTGGGAGAGAATGTCACTAAACAAATAATGGCTCTAAGAAACACACAATTACAGAGTATGTCAAGTTCAGACAACTGTAAACAGTGTTCTGAATACCATCTGCGAAAGGAAAGGGTGGTAGCTATGATGGCAAGATACCATGGCATGTTTATTATTGATGGAACGAGCCAGAAGAAAGAGGCTAAGTATATAAGGGCAAGAGAAGGGAATCCTGGATTTGTAGAAAGCTTCCTTAGAAGGAAGAAGCCAGAGACCAAGTAAAAGGGTAGGCTTCAAATAAAAGGGAACTGCCTCAACTGAAATAGAAGCAGAAGTGAGGATGACTGAAGATAAAGCTTAGTTTGTAGATTTATAGGTTTGAAGAGGAATTGCCAAAATATGGGACAATGTCATCTGCCTAGAGCAAAGATGTATATTGGAAGTTCTGAGGTTTTAAGAAAACAGGGTTTTTAGGTAATAGTTTAGTGAAAGCACACTGAATAGAGAAGGGCAGTAACTGGGCAGGCTTCATTAAGAACCTGTATTCTGTCATATGGGGCAGATTCTAAATATTTTCAGCTCCCTTATTGCAGGCAAGATAAAGGCAAGAGAGTAGGTGTTAGAAGGGAGAGATAAACTTCTAAAGGGAACTAAATTTTTAAAGAGGATTGTCTTCCAACTGGGAAGAGAGGGAAAACTTTATGAGGTGAGTAGATCTCAGCTAGACAAGAGAACACAATTGCTAGAGAAAGAAAATGGCCAGAGAGAGAAAAGGGGAGAAAAAAGTCTGGGGGAGATGGAGATAAAAGCCGAGTAGTGGTGGATTTCTGGCCTACGTGCAGGAATATCCTTTTGTCTTCCAAAGTAAATGTGGTCATAGTAATATTAATCGTTTATCACCTGATGTTGTGAAATTGTTTATATCATATGTATATATATATTTAGACTCTTAGGCCTGACCATCTATAGAGGAATTTCTAGACATCTTTAGCTGCTACAGGGCTGCATGAATGAAGGACAAGTATATTATCCTCCACACATTAGAAGAGAGGCTCCAGGGAGCAACAGGAGACAAAAGTTCTTTTATTTTTGAGACAGAGTCTTGCTCTGTCGCCCAGGCTGGAGTACAGTGGTGTGATCTTGGCTCACTGTAACCTCCACCTCCCAGGTTCAAGTGATTCTCATCCCTCAGCCTCCCGAGTAGCTAAGATTACAGGTGCGTGCCACCATGTCTAGCTAATTCTTGTATTTTTAGTAGAGATGGGGTTTCACCATGTTGACCAGGCTGGTCTCAAACTCCTGACCTCTAGTGATTTGCCTGCCTTGGCCTCCCAAAGTGCTGGGATTACAGGGGTGAGCCATTGCATCCAGCCAGTTCTTTTCTTTCTTTCTTTCTTTTTTTTTTTTTTTTTTTTTTTTTTTTTTNTTTTTAAAGACGGGGTTTCACCATGTCAGTCAGGCTGGTCTTGAACTCCCGACCTCAGGTGATCCACCCGCTTTGGCCTCCAAAGTGAAGCCAGTTCTTTTCTTATTGGCGACTGTGAGTTGCTGTGAGCCCTTTCCTGGGTCCATTTTGTCATTCCTAGATTTATCAAGAGTACAGGTCCTTTCGCCAAATGATAACTTTAAATCTACTCCAAGTCTTTTCTTAATGCTATTTTTGATTTCTTGAATATTTAGTTAAGTAGAAATGGACTTGGAGGAAGTGATAACTTTAAATCTACTCCAAGTCTTTTCTTACATTATTTCTAATCTCATGAATGTTTAGCCAAGTAGAAATGGACTTGGAGGAACTGAGATATGGGCGAAAGGTAACTTGAAGTCATTTATTAGATGGATTGTTTGTCCAAAACACTTTGCTACCCTAATTCTGAGAAATACTATTGTACAACACTTGGCAATTATTAAAGTACCTACACTCTACAAATACCTGACTTATCAGACCCCTTGTAACATGACTATGCTGCCATTAAAAACAAGAATCTCCATATGAATAGTGTTGGTTATGTCAAAATTAGTGAAGCTTAAAAATGTTTCACTTGACTTTGGTAATTAACAAAAACAAGCTTCTTTAAAGACAATAGTAAAAATATAAAGTGGCAAGCAGCTAGCTGGCAGGTGAACAAAGCCAGGAAAAAGAGACTGGGTTGAAACACTTTGTAATTATTCATTTTGGAGTTCAGCCCCTTGCCTTTTGATGGTCTTTTTGAATTGACTGCTAGCGTGTGATATTTTTTGACATAAATTCTTGTAATTTTAGGATTTCCTATTCTTTTAAAACACTTTTATTATTGATTGGTTAATACATAATAATTATACCTATTCATGTGGGTACATGTGATATTTTGATATATGCATATAATGTGTAATGATTAAATTGGGGTAAGTTGAATAGTCATCATCTCAAACATTTATCATTTGTGTTGAGAATATTCTAAACTTTGTTTTGAAATATATAATAAATTGATAACTATAATCACCCTTCTTGTGCTGTGGAATGCTACAACTTATTCCGTCTAACCATATTTGCACTCCTTTTAACTTCTCTTCATCTCCCTCTCCCTCCTATCCTTCCCAGCCTCTGGTAACCACAATTTTACTCTCTACCTCCACGGAGTGAACTTTTTTAGCTCCCACATATGAGTACCTAACTTCAGTGTAAGACCCAAAACTATGCAGCTATTCCAAGAAAACTATTTGAGAAAATGCTTGAAAATGTTGGTCTGAGCAGTTATTATTTTTTTTTAAATTAAGACCTTCCTTCTATTTTTTCATTGAAGAAAACGGCATATTTTTCTTTCTTTCTTTCTTTTCGACGGAGTTTCACTCTTGTTGCCCAGGCTGGAGTGCAATGGAACGATCTCGACTCACTGCAACCTCCGCCTCCCAGGTTCAAGAGATTCTCCTGACTCAGCCCCCCGAGTAGCTGGGATTACAGGCATGCGCCACCACGCCTGGCTAATTTTGTATTTTTAGTAGAGGTGGGGTTTCTCCATGTTGGTCAGGCTGGTCTTGAACTCCCGACCTCAGGTAATCCGCCCGCCTCGCCTTCCCAAAGTGCTGGGATTACAGGTGTGAGCCACCGCGCCTGGCAGAGGGCATACTTTTCAATGAAAAAATGTTCGAGATTTTTAAATGAGCAGATACTCATGCATTACTAGTGCAGCAAAAAATATCAAAAGGAGGGAAGAATATAAAAAGTAGTGTGTGCCTCTTAGCTAAAGAACTGTTAAGATACAAAACTTGGCTCTTGGCTGCCTTACCCTCGCTGCCAAGAAGGAAACATTAATTAGTTACATCGCCGTCGTGCGCATTGGAAGGTCGCTGTATGGAGCAGATGGGGACTGCTCTCCGAATTTGCATTCAAGTCTGACATTCTTTTGTCAGCCTTTGTGTAACCGGCTTTCCTTGCATTCAGAGGAAAGACGGGAGGTGCTGATGCGAGGATTGAGACGATTCGATACAGTATGGTAACCTCGATCGCAGCTCTCCTATGAGATTCTCTTCCTGGATTCTGAGTCACTTAAGGTTGCCCCTTCCCTTACCTGACCCTTTTCCGTTTCCCCTTAGATTGGAGATTCTCCTCAGATTCTATGTCTCTGAAATTATTAGTGTTGGTAGCCACTGGGGCCATGGAGTGGTCTCAATCTTAAGTTCTCAAAGATCACCTTTTAAACTTCATTGGGAACACGATACAGCCACACGAGTCCTAGCCCTGAATCTCACGAAGACCTCAATACACCTGGGGAAGCCAGCACACCGAATTCCGATGCTGCTAGAGATGTCACAAGCCGCAGCACCCATCCGCTCCGGGCCCACAGCAAGCACACGCGCAGAACAAGCGAGCGGCCACCCAGGGATCGGGGCCATCTGCACAGCGGTTACAGTCTCGGAAAGGCCTGGCTTCTTCGTGGCTTTGTGGAGATCCCTTACAGCAGCCATTAAGGACTGGCACCAGAAGAGATTCAAAGAAAGCAGCAGTGCGGTCCACAACATACTTCCGTTTCAGACCACCCACTTCCGGTTTGTCAGCCGGTTCCGGTCCCGCCCTTCACTTCCGCTCGCTCTCGGTCTCACGGCGGCCAGTTCCTGCGTCCGCTGCCGCTGCTTCTGCTGCGCTCTAGGTGAGGGGTTGCGGGGCACCTTGGCGCGCTGCTCGTGGAGACGCCGTTGGGGCTCGGGGACAGTGACTTTGCCGTCTGCGCGGCGTGGCTTGCACTGCGACGGGCTGGGGATAGTGTCTGTCCTAGTCCAACGCCCAGGCCCCTGGCCTCGGCCCCCGCGACTAAGCGGGCCGCTGTCCTTCCATCCGGCCTTCTTGCCTATTTCGAGGGTTTTTGGTGTCCCCGTGGGTTTTGCGTCCCCACACTTCATTACTCCGTCTTCTGGGGCTTGTCCATCTTTCCCCTCACCCTCCTTGTTGAAGACATCCCGGCCCTCTTGGTTCTGGAGTCTCCACGTGCCTCCTGATGCTGCCCTGAGCCAGTCAGTCAGCTCAGCCCCCGACACTGCACCACCTCGCAGTCGTTGCTGGCGTGCGGTTCTCGCCGAGAGTTCTTAGTGCTGCACGGTTCCCTTTTGCTGGGATTGTTGAAAGTTAACCTCCCATCACTTCCCAAAGTGGTGTACTTTTTACTGCTGTACTTCAAAGTTCCTTATTTGCCACTTTTTAGGTGTGTGGTCCGGGACAAGTTTAATTTCTTTTCAGGTTTCTCATTTGTATAATGAGGACAGCAGCTGTTGGTTCAGGATTGTGAAGATTCAATAGGATAATGAAATTGTTTAGCATGTTATTCCATCATGAACACCATGTTTCGCTTTATAGTTTACAAAGTGCTGTCACAGGTGTTAACTTCATGCCTTAACACTACTGTCCGGTGAATATTAATAGCTTCATCTTGTGGTTGAGAAGACTGAGCGAGAGGTAGATTGACTAGGCAAAGTCAAGACAGTATGTTAGACAGAACTCCAACCTAAACAGCTATTCTTGACTCTAGGTTGACCATATATGTGTTCTTTGCTTGCTTGTTTGGGTTTGATTGCCAACTTCTCTCCTCCCAACACCACAAATCATTTTTCAGTTTATAAATCTGATGGGATCTGAAATGATTCAAAATACTAGAATTGTGTGAGAAAGGAGGTTAAATGTGAAAGCAGAATAGCTCATGCATTTATATCACACCGCTTCATTGATGTGAATGTCTTAATGATGATGAAATAAGATTCAGTAACTTTTAAACAAATCTTAAGACTTATACATTTACATTTTTTATGGTGCTTGTTTTGTTTTGCTTGGTTCTGAAGGCATTTGCCAACTTGGAATTTCCACTTGAGGGATAGGTGCTTCATAACTTTTTTTTTTTTTTTTTTTTTTTTTTGAGTCGGAGTTTCGCTCTTGTTACCCAGGCTGGAGTGCAATGGCGCTATCTCGGCTCACCGCAACCTCCGCCTCCTGGGTTCAGGCAATTCTCCTGCCCCAGCCTCCTGAGTCGCTGGGATTACAGGCACGCGCCACCATGCCCAGCTAATTTTTTGTATTTTTAATAGAGACGGGGTTTCACCATGTTGATCAGGATGGTCTCGATCTCTTGACCTCGTGATCCACCCGCCTCGGCCTCCCACAGTGCTGGGATTACAGGCTTGAGCCACCGCGCCCGGCCAGGTGCTTCATAACTTTTAAAATGCTGCTTTATTAAGCATATAGAGCCATCTGGCACTTTTTTTTTTTAAGGATGAAAATATTGAAGAGCGTGGAGCCCTGGCTTTCAAATTTGAGCATGCATCAGAGGTGAGGAGGATGGACCTTGTTAAAACACAGATTCCTAGGTCCCTTCTCGCCACTCCTGATTACATTTCTACCAAATTACCAAGTGAGGTAAATGCTGTTGATTGGTCACACTTTGAAAACCACTGGTCTAGAAGAGCAATGACTTGTTCAGGGTCACCTGGAACTCAGATGATCTCACTCCAAACTCTGCACTGCTACTTATCACAATATATGGGATATTAGTTCTGGTTGCCTTTCTAGCTCTTTTAGAAATCATTTTTATTCTTACATCTTACAGAAAATATTTAAACTGTATTTCATTTTAACTAAAAAGGTCCATTTGTCTTTTTATTGAGGATTATAACATTTGTTATAGTTCTGTCTAAAATGGAATACATTACCCTAAATTCACACACTTGCTATACATTTTCAGTGTAACAGGTTGTAAACATTAAATATATGTTTATATTGCATATTTGTATTCATATGAGTAAATATAAATATTAATTTATAGTGCTGTCTTCTAATTGGCCTGTTAGTATGAGACACTGTTTCCAAATCATTTTTGGATGTTAAGATTAAAAATTTGCCTTCTTTCTTGCAGTTGGTCCTAATAGTTGCATGAAGAGTGCAATCAGATGTTTGATCAAATAAGTGAAAGCATTGGAAATACCAATACTTTGAGATTAGAAAATTGAGTTCTTTCACCTGTGGGAGTAATGAGTTTATGAAAAGTAGGAAACTTTATGCAGGAAGAGACATATGTTTGGTTATTTATGTGAGTGGCAGCCACTGTATAATCTTGTGTGCTTAGATCTGTACCCGTGGGTTTTGTATGTACTGATTGATATGGTTTGGCTGTGTCTCCACCAAAATCTTAACTTGAATTATATCTCCCAGAATTCCCACTTGTGGGCAGGACCCAGGGGGAGGTAGTTGAATCATGAAGTCTAGTCTTTCTAGAGCTGTTCTTGTAATAGTGAATAACTCTCACGATATCTGGTGGGTTTATCAGGGGTTTCTGCCTTTGCTTCTTCCTCATTCTGTCTTGCCACTGTCATGTAAGAAGTGCCTTTCACCTTCCACCATGATTCTGAGGCCTCCCTAGCCATTGTGAAACTGTAAGTCCAATTAAACCTCTTTTTCTTCCCAGTCTCAGGTATGTCTTTATCAGCAGCATGAAAACAGATTAATACAGTAAATTGGTACCAGTAGAGTGGGGCATTGCTGAAAAGATACCCGAAAATGTGGAAGCAACTTTGGAACTGGGCAACAGGCAGAGGTTGGAACAGTTTGGAGGCCTCAGAAGAGGACAGGAAAGTGTGGGAAAGTTTGGAACTTCCTAGAGGCTTGTTGAATGGTTTTGCCCAAAATTCTGATAGTGATATGGACAATAAGGTCCAGGCTGAGCTGTTCTCAGATGGAGATGAGGAACTTTTTGACAACTGGAGTAAAAGTGACTCTTGTTATGTTTTAGCAAAGGTACTGGTGACATTTTGCCCCTGTCCTAGAGATTTGTGGAACTTTGAACTTGAGAAAGGTGATTTAGGGTATCTAGTGGAAGAAATTTCTAAGCAGCAAGGCATTCAAGAGGTGATTTGAGCACTGTTAAATGCATTCAGTTTTATAAGGGAAGCAGAGCATAGAAGTTTGGAGAATTTGCTGCCTGACTATGCGACAGGAAAAAAAAAACATTTTCTGGGGAGAAACTCAAGCTGGCTGCAGAAATATGCGTAAGTAGCAAGGAGCCTAATGTTAATCCCCAAGACCATTGGGAAAATGTCTTCAGGCCATGTCAGACACCTTGATGGCAGCCCCTCCCATCATAGGCCCCGAGGCCCAGAAGGAAACAGTGGTTTCGTGGGCTGGGTCCAGGGTCCCCATGCTGTGTGCAGCACAGGGACTTGGTGCTCTGTGTCCCAGCAGCTCCAGCCATGGCTGTAAGGGGCCAACATCTCACGGCTTGGGCTGTGGCTTCAGAGGGTGGAAGCCTCAAGCCTTGGTAGCTTCCTTGGGTACATAGCCTTGATATCGAGCCACGGGTACATAGAAGTCAAGAATTGAGGTTTGGGAACCTGGGCCTAGATTTCAGAAGATGTATGGAATCACCTGGACGCCTTGGCAAAAGTTTGCTGCAGGGGCAGGGCCCTCATGGATAACCTCTGCCAGGGCAGTGTGGAAGGGAAATGTGGGGTCAGAGCCCCTACACAGAGTCCCTACTGGGGCACTGCCTAGTGGAGCTGTGAGAAGAGGGCCACCATCCTCCAGACCCCAGAATGGCAGATCCACTGGCACCTTGTGCCGTGCGCCTGGAAAAACTGCAGACAGTCAATGCCAGCCCATGAAAGCAGCTGGGAGGGAGGCTGTATCTTGCAAAACCACAGGGGTGGAGCTGCCTAAGGCAGTAAGAACCCACCTCTTGCATCAGTGTGACCTGTATATGAGACTTGGAGTCAAAGGAGATCATTTTGGAGCTTTAAAATTTGACTGTCCCTCTGGATTTCGGACTTGCACGGGCCCTGTAACTCCTTTGTTTTGGCCAATTTCTCTCATTTGGAACAGCTGTATTTACCCAATACCTGTACCCACATTGTATCTAGGAAGTAACTAGCTTGCTTTTGATTTCACAGGCCCATAGGTGGAAGGGACTTGCTTTGTCTCAGATAAGACTTTGGACTGTGGACTTTTGGATTAATGCTGAAATGAGTTAAGATTTTGGGGGACTGTTGGGAAGGCACGATTAGTTTTGAAATTTGAGGACATGAGATTTGGAGGGGCCAGGGGTGGAATGATATGGTTTGGCTGTGTGCCCACCAAAATCTCAACTTGAATTATATCTCCCATAATTCCCACATGTTGTGAGAGGGACCCAGGGGGAGGTAATTGAATCATGGGGTCCAGTCTTTCCCATGCTATTCTTGTGATAGTAACTCTCATGAGATCTGATGGGTTTATCAGGGGTTTCTGCTTTTGCTTCTTCCTCATTCTCTCTTGCCACTGCTATATGTAAGAAGTGCCTTTCACCTTCTGCCATGATTCTGAGGCTTCTCCAGCCGTTAACGGAACTGTAATGTCCAATTAAACCTCTTTTTCTTCCCAGTCTTGGGTATGTCTTTATCAGCAGTGTGAAAACAAACTAATACACTGATCTTTGATACCTTAACTCTTATATGTCCAGCTGAAGAGAGGCAGTTGTGTAGGGCAAGAAACACAAGATTTAGTAGGAAGACCTGTTTTCTAACTAGCTATGTGTCTATGTGAAGATTATATACCCTCTCAAAACTCCTGTTTTCCTTAATTGTAAAAGGGGGGAAACTTATCAAATTACTTTCTCTAATAAGATTGTTTAATTTCATTCATAAAATATGAAACAGTGGCTATTTACTGTTTATTTGGCACAGTGCCTGAAACATAGTAAGTTTTCAGTTTAAAAAGATTTTTGTGTAACCAACACTTAATTTATGTAGTGTTTACTAGGTGTCACCCAAATGTTAACTAATTTAATCCTCATAAGAGCCCTAAGAAGTAGGTAGTATCATCATCCCTGTTTTACAGATGAGGAAACCTAGGCACTGAGAGTCAAGTACCTTCTCAAAGTCAGATAACTAAGTGGAAGAGAGCTGGGATCTGAACCCAGGTCATCTGGCTCTAGAGTCTATGTTCTTAACTACACCACACTACCTTTCAAATGTTAAATGAATGTGGATAGTCTGTCATGGAAGAACTTGCCTGTAGCATAAACTTGACCAAATACAGCAGGAGGAGTAGATAGCTCATAATTGCACATTTCCAGTTGAACAGTGAGAGAGTATTAGAAAGTAGTAACTCTAAGCAAAAAATTAGGAGTGTGGGGGAATTTAGCTTTGAGTCCTAGTATCTTTTGGTGTTCTGGTAGCACTCCTGTACGGACAAAAGTTCTGTCTAACATTTAGTAGGAAGACCTGTTTTCTAACTAGCTATGTGTCTATGTGAAGATTATATACCCTCTCAAAACTCTAAGACAAACTTAAAAGTTTGTCTTCAATGTACAGTATCTATTTTAACTTACTCACTTTTTGTCTTCCTTTCCAGGTTTTTTTTTTTTTTCTGAAGGACAGCTGCTTCCTCATATGTTTCAAGAATGGCTCTCCCTATCATTGTAAAATGGGGTGGACAGGAGTATTCAGTGACCACACTTTCAGAAGATGATACTGTACTCGATCTCAAACAGTTTCTCAAGACCCTTACAGGAGTGCTTCCAGAACGCCAAAAGTTACTTGGACTCAAAGTTAAAGGTAATTCTCCCCCCACTTCAGATTTTTTGCATTGAATTTTTAGTATTATGAATTTTAATAGTCGTTTTAAATATAATTGTTTAATAATTTATACTTGCTATTTGTTGTTTAATACGTCCTTCTCTTTGGAGATTTCTTTAGCAGAAGTATTCTTAAAATTGTTTTAGTGGTAAAAGTAAAAATATTAAAGTGTACTCAAAAATACCATGATTATTAAGATTACTTTTGATGTTTTAGACAGTTGGTATTTGCTTGTGAAACCTTTGGCACAGAAGTCCCAGATGAAACTCATTTATTTTCTGACATCTACCTTTTAGAACGGTGTTTTCATTGTACCGTGGGCCTTGTACTCTTCCCAGATTATCTTTTCTGTTTCTTTTTTTTTTTTTTTTTTTTTGACGGAGTTTCTCTCTTTTTACCCAGGCCTGAATGCCAGGGGTCTATCTCAGCTCACTGCTACCTCCGCCTCCTGGGTTTAAGTGATTCTCCTGCCTCA